TATATATATTCATCATATTATATATATATATATATATATTCAAATTTATCTATATATCATTCATATCTATATATATAATCATATATATCACATAAATCTATTCCGGTCTATTCGGATATATTCAATCAATCTACTACAATCTGTTGTTTTCCGTGTTGGCAAATATGATTTTACTATCTTTATCTATCTATCTATATTATCTATCTAATTATCTATCTATCTATCTATCTATCTATCTATCTATCTATCTATCTATCTATTCATCTATCTATTTATCTATCTATCTATGTCTCTCAATGTCTTTCAGGTATAAAGCATTTTAAGAGAGAGCGAAGAGGAAGCGAATTCACACCGTACGGCATTTGTATGAACTTAGTCTAGACAGGTGCAATTTAAATAATTTCAGCTATTTTATTTTACTATTGATAAAACTTATATATATATATATATATATATATATATATATATATATATATATACGAATATAAGATATCGCACATTGAGTGCACGTGATAATAAAGCTCGATGTAAATTAATAAATATATATTTAATGTATACTTATATATACATATATATACATTTAATATACAATTTAATATTATACAATGCTTGATAAATTTCTTAAACCTCAATTATTAAAACTTTTTAAATACTATATATAACATCGTGTTTATTTCGTTATTAGATTTATGAAGTACACTTTCCAATAATATATAATTTTCATATCTCTATCTCAGTCTGTTCACATCTCTCTCTCCCCACCTCTCTCTCTCTCTCTCTCTCTCTCTCTATCTCTATCTATCTATCTATCTATCTTGGTTTTAAGAGCATGTTTTTTCGTTGCTTCCGCTTTCATTTTGTTTACAAAAGCTTTGTTTATTTTTCTCTTCTGTGTTACTCATAACCTTTTACAAAACCCATTGATAGAAATTTGACTTTAGAAAAAATAGCCCTAAAAAATTCCTGCTCATAATTATTTCAGTGTCGAAGTTTCATGAAAACGTGAATCTCGCTTTGCAGCATTTTTTTCCTTAATTGTTGCGTTATTTGATGGTTTTCCTTCCTTCAATTTAAAAGAGTATTTTTCAATAGATTTTCCTTTTCCATTTCAGAAAAAAGATAATTTCTCCATTAAACGTCTGCTTCTCTAACTGCAAACGTAATAGAAAGATATCAAATGTCAATAGCTGCAGACGACGTCACTGAATGTGTCACTGTTCCACTGATAATCTCACTGATTAAAATATCAACTAGTATTATAATTATTCTGCGACAAACGGCTTCCGATTTCACTCAAAACGGAAATTTTACGAATAATGGACACAGCATCAGAATTTAAATCTTAAAATAGATTTTGCATATAGTATTTTTCTGTATGGGGTAGGTGATACTGTTGGTACGAGTTCTAGAAAGTGATTGTTTGGAATCTCACTACACATACCGATAGTTCTATATATCCTAATAGAATAGATATTGTCATCAAAGACATCACAAAAAATAAATTATATCTGATATTGTATTATCGAGTATTACTTACTTATTAAAGTAAAAAACTAGTTCAATCCATTGGGATCAACATGTTCAACTTTGGTGTCAGACTTGATAAATGATTGTATCAAAGAACATGAATGAGAAACAACAATTTCTTGACTGCTTCAATCACCACGGGTATCTGATGACATAAGAAAACAGACTTTTTCCTCATGATCCTTTTTATATATCTTGGCGGCACCCATCTCCTCTCCAAGCTCGTGACCACAGAACATGTTGTGAGTCGCCATCATTCTGCTCACTAGGTTTTGAATTCAAAGATGTCTTTCTTCTAGACCGGTTGCCACCCAAGACTATATGACCCAGTATATCCTGCTATTTACCGATAGCTGGGTAGAGAGAAGATATGGCTTCATATCATCCCCAAAGGTATACATAAGTGAATGTAATGATTTCGACTGGAATTCGAACTGATTGCATAGCACCTCCTGGGTATGACGATAAACTGCATCCACGTCCTGGGTGAGACGATAAACTACGTCCAACAGCAAGGTCTCTGATCAGAAGGTTTTGAGAAGCGTGGAGCCACCTCTTAATTGCTGATGTTTCCAGGTCCACCGTGACCTGGGGTGGTAGCACCTGTTAGGGTCTCAGCTATGGGCGAATAGTTAACCCCCAATCTGGGGTCAAAACACTATGAAAGTGTAAAAATAGGTTTTAATACCAGAAATACTTTGTAAAAAATTATTACCAGTAATATATTATTTCCAGCAATACATTTTTGAAACAAAAATGTCGAGCAATACATTTCTGAAAAAAAAAAAAAAAAAATTACCAGCGATATTTTTTTTAAGAAAAAATATTATCAGAAATATATTTTTGAAAGAAAACAATATTACCAGCAATATATTTTAGGAAAAAAAATATTACTAGCAAAAAAAATTTTATCGGCATTAAATAACCCATTTAGGTTGATATGCCGTAAAACAAACCAAACCAAACCAAACCAGCATGTTGAGAATACCGTGTAAGTAACAAGGAAGTTTTAAAGAAAATGGAAACAAAAAAAGGTCACTTATAATTAGAATGAGAAAGGTTGGAATTGCTGAGGAAAGAAGGCTTGGGAATCGAAGGCTAAAGGGTCAGGGGCAAGCATGGAGGAACCTGCTTAACAAGCTTGTGTAAATGAATGGCGCAACAAGAGACTGGGAGGGATAATAGAAAAACAAACATTGCTTAAAGCTACAATGGGTTGGAAGTGGTGGGCAGCTCGGATTGCCTACGCCCTGAAGGGCAAATAGAAGACGAAGAAGACGAAGAAGACGAAGAAGAAGAAGAAGAAGAAGAAGAAGAAGAAGAAGAAGACCCTACCCACTTCAACAATTAAAACTTCAGAAAGGAAACAACTGTCAATATTATTATTATTAATACGGATAATCAAATTTGTAAAATAAACGTGACACTTATGACATCACCAACAGCTACGCTAATGAAAAATGCCACACCAACATACACAACTAGATTATGAGGGGGTACAGAAAAGTTCTCAACTTGAACTACTTCCTATAATCTGATAAACATCTAGACACCAGCAAATTTATTTGGGAATTCCTTTTCAGCTCCCCTCATTGAGAGGTGTTAGAAGAAATAAATGGAAGGAAAAGAATCCACCAGGCACATCTAGCTATCAGATTTGGAGTCGCTAGTAATACTCTAGGATTTTGAAATCCAGGCCGACCATCCCATTCAAGCCAGAAGAGTGGATCTGATTGTCGGAAACAAAAGAAAAGAGGAGTTGCTAGATCGTTAGATGTAGACGTAACAGCGGCCCACGGACTAAAGACGAAAGGAAGCTAAAAATTGGGAAATTACCAGGACGTCCCTGAAAACTAAGAAACCTGTAGAATATGAAGATTAAGGTCGCGCGTGCGCACGCACACACACACACACACACACACACACACACACACACACACACACACACACACACACACATATATATATATATATATATATATATATATATATATATATATTAATAATCGTCCAACCCGGAACAGTTGTAAAAAAAACATTAGAATCGATATTTTGACGGATTAGAGAATCGATGCAGAATTAAGGGTGTTTGAATTACTGTGTTGCTGAGATTTGCGAGAATACTGAGGAAGGTGCTGTACACTTGAGAAAAATTGCTGCATTTCAATCTCCAGTGATAAAAAATAGACATTCAAATGCAAGGAATATAATAACGAATAAAATATAACGAATGAGAGAATCTGATATTCTAGTGGACATTTCTCGACCTTAGTCTTTTGAACAGGAGTAGAGGTTTATCTCTTGCTTCCTGTTTAGGATTGGGTTTCCGGTTCCTTTTAAAGTCTACTTCAACTCTATACTTCTAACGTCTCCACCTAAACTCTGATGTTTTATTTACTATTTATTTATTTTTTCCTCAATAGGAGTAGATAGGTTCGCCTATCGCCCGGTTCATACTCCTCTCGGTCTTTTCAGAAAAGTTTTATCCCTTGATTCCAGTTTAGGATTTGGGTTTCTAGTTCTGTCTAAAGTCTTTTTTTTTTAATTTTCTTTCTCACAAAGTAGCCTCTTGAATTTTAGTGACATTGCCGCCTTGTTTCAGGTGAATTGATTAAAAATAAAACAGAAAGAATTCTGTTAACATATAAATTTAAGAAGTAAAAAATGCCGTAAAGTAGATTTTTCTGTTTGTGTAAACTATAGAATAGTGAAAGTGAAACTCTAGACAAGGACTTAGAACTTACAAGAAAACTAAAAAAAAAAAAAAAAGAAGTGTATAATGGAGGTAACTGTCGTGCCCGTTGCTGTTCGAGCACTTGGAATCTGTGTAAGACCATCCAGATAGAGAATTACTATAGAAAGTGCTTGAAAACGGGAGAAATTTGCTATTACATGATCTCCGACATAAGCCACCAGTTACTCATGGCGTAAAAACTCAATTGTAGGAGTAATAGTAGTAGTAGTGGGACTAATTTCTAAGAGAAAACAATTTAATGATAGTCGTGATGATGGTACTGATAAACACAAAACACAATAATAGTAATGAGTAAAAAACTTACGACTAAATTGTTAAGGGAGCCATTTCATCAAGTTGATTGAAGGGTATTTTTTAAGTTTCAAATTAAAAAGAATTATTCTGAACCAAGAACTGCGGAGGCATTGTTCAAAAGTCAGTAAGAATTTAGTACCTATTCAATAAATGTCGGAAAACGAGGATCGGGGATTGAATCAGAATGGAGATCGTGTAATGTAAAGAAAACAATCATTAAAAAAAAAAAAAAAAATCGGTAAAAAAATCCCCTCCCACGTTCTTGCGGATAATGTCTCTTTGTTGTGTTGTTATAAAGATGTGACCTGTCTTTTTTTTTTTACTTCTTCTTAATTAATTGTTCTATAATTTTGGATCTTGCCGAGATATAGGATCCCTTCCCTACTTCCGTCCCTGTGTGTGTGCTGGTAAGATGATCCGAATCTTAATCTTGATTCAGGGGAATAATATTCCGGAATGACAGTTTGAAGTTGAATGGCGGCAAGGTGTCGGTAGAAAGTGAAAGAGGTGAATGAATGAAGAAAAGAAATGAAAGAGAAAGATGAAAGAAGAGAAAAAGAAAAAGCGATGCCGAAAAAGAGAAGAACAAATTAAGAAATAAATATCGAAAGTGAAAGAAAGTAGGAAAATGTTTAAAAAGAAAGAAGAAGGGGAAGATATGGAAGGAAAAAAAAGGAATTGAATGAAAAGAAAAAAAGAACAAAAAATGAGACGGAATGAAAATGAGAGAGAAGGAAAATGGAGATATTAAATTTAAAATCGAATTATATAAAAGAGAAGACGACGGAGAAACGTTATAACGAAAAAAGATTATAGGAAATGAAGAAGAAAGATGTGTGTAAATGAGGGAAAAAGGGTGGAAATAAGGATAACTTAGAAAAAAGAGGTGGAAAGAAAAAGATAAAGAAAAAGGTAGGAAGGAACAGAAAAGAGACAAAATGTAAATAGGAAAAATAGAGAGGAAGAAAAGGCGACAAAAGAAAGATGTAAGACAACAAAAAACTCAAAGAAGCGACAGATAAGTCACAAAGAAACAGGGAATCGAATAGAAAATGAAAGGGAAAGAAATGAAAACAAAGGGAAGAGAAAAGGAAACGAAAAGAGAAAAAGAAGGAAGGAGAGTTGAAAAAAAAAGAAGAAAAGAAACGAGAGAAAGACTGAGTGGATATAGGAATAAAGATGTATAGAAATGGAAGAAAGGAAACAGGAAGAAAGAGAAGGGACGAGAGAAAGTAATAGAGGGAGAAGATATAGGAAAGGAGAAGAGAAAGAGAGGGGAATAAAGAGAAACGAAAAACAGAAGAACCGGAAGGAAGAGTGATGGGGGGAGTAAGAACAGATAGAGGAGGAAAGAAAAAGGGAGAAATGGAAAAATATAGGAAACGAATGGAAGGCAAGATAGGAAAAGAGAGACGCTAAAGAAAACAAAGATAAGAAATAAAAGACGTGTAAGAAACAGGGATAAAAGAATAAAAAATATATTTAAAAAGAAGCGAAGATGTTGGGAAAGCAAGAGTAAAGTGTAAAATAAACACAGAATCAAAAAAGAAAAAAAAAAAAACAAGAAAGAAAAGAAAGAAAAAGAAAGGTAAAAAAAAAACCCCCAAAAAACAAAACAAAACAAAACAGCAGAAGAGAAAATAAACACAGAGACTGAAGCAAGTACAAGTTGTCAAAGGCGGCCCGGGAAATCGGAAACAAACTTGAAGTGGTGTCAAGAAACAAGAGTCGTGATAAAGGCAGTACTATAGTGGTTTTTGATGAAATAATCCTCACTCTCCTTCCCAATAAATGCTGCCTCTATCTTTCTTTCTTTCCCTTCATCCCCTTCCTTTTTACTCTGCCATTATTTTTGCTGGGTGTTATGGGTATAGCGATAAGGGAGTTACTTTGATTACTTCCTGTTGCCGTCAGTCGGGACCGCTTTTACCCGGCATCGAACCTTAGCTCGCCAGGCTCTCAGCTGATGGGTACAAAATCTGTAGGTGAAAGAGAAATGAAAAACCTATACGTTTTTTCTTTTATTTGCGTCAATTGCAATTTGCACATTTTAACGATGATGGAGTTACCATGTTGATACCTTGAGGCAGAACAAGCAACAAACAGATGCACAAAAAATAAGTTGATTTCTTTCTAAAGTAAAGAAACCAATGGACCGTATTTCTTACTTGTATAAGACCAACTACCTCGACCACTAACACTACTATTATACTACTATTGGTACAAAGGTTAGTGGTTTTTATTTTTATTTCGTTAGTCTTAAACAATATATTGTACATTATATTAATATGGAATTTTATTCGTATTTTAGAAAAGGCTTATTTTTAGCGGATACACATATTTGTGTAGACGCTCCGTTTATTTATTAAACTATTTATTTTCGTCAACCAGCTTGAATATTCGAGATTCTTATTAGAGAAAAATGTGCCGGAGATTGTGTATTTTTCTTTTAATAAGATTTCTCGAATATTCAAGCCGGTAGATGAAAATAAATAAATATACTGTTTAATAAACAAAAGACATATCGTAGAACATAGTAAGAGACATTAGGAGCAAAAAAAAAAAAAAAAGTAACGATCCTTTTTATTTTGTAACATGTATGCGTGTATGTGTATATAGAGAGAAAGAGAGAGAGAGAGGGAGAGAGAAAGAAAGAGAGAGATGTATATGTGTCTGTGCGTGCATGTATTTAAATTGAAGAAGAAAAAAAGAAAACGTGTGTATGGAAAAAGTGACTTACCCACAATATGATCATGTGTCATAGCCTGTCTTCCGTGTAGTGGATAGGTAAATAGGGACTTACTGTGAAGTTTTCTTATGTTATTTAATTTATGGTAAAACAAACTCTTAGTTTGTACTGTACAAATATTTGCAATTTCACACATTTAACGAAATCTATAAACCATTTTTATGCCGTGACCCTTTAGGACGTACCTGATCATGGCTCTCTACAAATTCCATTTCTTTTATTATTTATGAAATGCCATAACAATCTAGGAGGAGTAATACAGTGGTTTCGCGTCGTCTTCTCCATGATTTTGAATTCAGAGTCGTTCTACTCCGAGACTGACTGCTACCTAAGGCTCGAGAGACCGTTTAACCTCACAATTTAAACCATATATGTCGGGGAGTAATGATGGATTAATACTTTTTTTCCCCAGGAATATTAGTGTGAAAGTGAATGATTCGGTTGAAATTTGAAACCAGCCCCTCCATTTTCTATGTCGATAATTGATACGCTTTCAGCACGTCACTGACGGACTTAATAGCTGTAAAAATGACGGGATTATTTAGGCGTGGCTAATCATTTCTGTCCAGGATCAGATTATGATTACGCTTCTCGGACCTCTGCCCCGGATCGGTGTAGTAAATCTGCCTAGGTTCGAAGTATCACTCTCACGCAAAACTACGTAGGATTAGTTTCGTAGATGTGACCACTGTTAAATTTTGTCACCCACACAGCAATTATATATATATATATATATATATATATATATATATATATATATATATTTAAATAAATAAAAAAAGAAACAACAGTAAGATATATAATCCGGTGTTTTTATAGATATTTTTATTTTTACAAAATAGTGCTCAATGTAAATTTACAGAGCATTAATATTATAAATGAATTGATTTAAAATATGTTTTTTTTCGCTACACAGTTCTAACCATGTTTCAAAAATGGAAGCTAAAAGCCACGAATTTAATTTTTGCAATTAAATTAAAGACATTAGTTCCATTTCATCCTCAAGCGAATTTTGGAGTAACTTTTAAAATTACTAGGTTTTAAAGACACAGCTAAAATCACGTTTCCATGGTTACAGATAAATCTACTTCAACTGGACAAAGGGTGTTTTGGTTTTCCTTATGTCTGTATTATTGTATCGGCTATTAGCTACATTTTATATATATATATATATATATATATATATATATATATATATATATATATATATATATATATGAGGTGTATTTCAGCAGCAATAATTCTTTCAAAAATTAAAGTGTCGACTAGTTTTGTCTATCAATTTTCTTATTTAATAAAAGATTTGATGGACAGAACGTTTTGAATTTTAATTTTTAACCCGGTATACTTTTATTCTTCTTATTAATAAAATAATTGAATATCAACCCAACACGTGTAAACACGAATAATAGTAATCTAGTGATAGCAAATGTCGAATGAAAAAAATCCACAAATCACATACACACACACACATACGTATATATAAGCAGAAATAAACACATGTCGAATCTCTCTCTCTCTCTCTCTCTCTATATATATATATATATATATATATATATATATATATATATATATATATATATAATTGTTACGGCATTCACCAGTCGGTTAAGTTGGCCCCGTAAAACGAACCCGCCGCATTCGAACGAAAGGTGACCAAGCGTATCAGAGATCGTATTCATTCATTCGAACGTGAACATTCAGAGTTGAAATTTCAGATAGATAGATAGATAGATTGAGATAGATAGATGCAGATTGATAGAGAGATAGGTAGGTAAATAGATGCAGATTTAGATAGATAGATAGATAGATAGATAGATAGATAGATAGATAGATAGATAGATATTTCTTCGATATCTGTGGACTTATTTTTTATCGTAAGAAGCGTTCTCAAAACTTCGTCTCCATCTCTGTGTAAAAATATTTTAATTGATAAAACACTACAAATGCAATATTAATAATTATTTTTTCCTATCACTCGTTAAAGAATATTAGCATTTTGGAAGGGGCACTGAAGAACTAACTGAAGTGGTATGACAAATTAAACGACGTTAGGATGTAACATTCGAATTCATGAGTAACAATTGTCCACGGAATATAGGCTAATGAGGAATTGAGGAGAAGAGTGACAAAATATTATAAAATAATAAACCTAAGACAGTTGACATTAATATAGATATGATCTCATAATTATAAGTGAATAAGACGATGGTTGGATAATTATTTTTAAATGTTATTTCAACTAAGCTTGCAGTTCGACTAATGTTTGAAATGAAGCTCTAATCCTTAACTGTTTTGATTAAATTTCTAACTGATACGGAAATTCCATTGATAAGTTTAGATTATATGACTTCTAAAATCCACATCTAAAATTCATTAAAGTCATTAATAAAACTCATTAAAGTCAATCGTAAAAATGTTTTAATTGTTGAAACACTAAAAATGCAATATTAACGATTATTTTTTTTTATCACTCGATACTCTAAGTATTTAGTTTGTTTTTTTTTATTAATTAGTTTTTTTACAACTCATCAACCTCAAAGGCAGAAACTATTTTGGATTTTTAAGATTTTTTTTCTAGATAAAAATGATTTAAGGACACAAGACCTACTATAACTCATAGCTAGGGGAGAAGAGGTAGATGTATACCTTTCCCAAGGGGTATTGGCGCGTAA